TCTTAGTAATTCAGATCAATTAAACACATAGTCACCAGCACCTACTACATGCCAGGCACTGTGGTAGGCACTCAGACGACAAAGATGAATAAGATTATAACTCGAGCTCTGGGAGCTCACAATCTCATGAGGGAAACAGACAAGCAAACCATGGGCCTGTCTCTAGGTATGTGGTATGTGCTACAGGAGACAAAAATGAGAGATGAGGAAATGCAGAGGAAGAGATCCTGTAATTTGCTTTGGAAAAGCTTCACCAAGGATGTGACATTTGAACTAGATCTTGAAGGATAAGTAGTTGATTTCTAGTAAAAAGGTTACAGAGGGCCGTTTCCATCCGAGGGAACAGCATATGCTAATCCCTAACACAAGACCAGGCTCCACCTGTTTGGGAAATGGCTCAGGATGCCTGGAGCCCAGAATGCCTGGGCCATCCACAGGCCAGTTTCCTGCAAGACCCTGGCTGGCTCCAGCACCTCCAGTCTAGCCATTCAGTTAGCCCCAGAATAAGGAAAATTTGAGTTTGCACTGCAGGTAAGAATGAACTTGATGAGAAGGAGAAACTCTATCCGTCACCACTGCACAGGCTTCCCAACTGGCAAAGTGTGGTTACCAGCTTTATCTTGTTCAAGCTTCACTGTGTACTTGGGAAGACCACGGAACAGAAATATGACTTTATTTTGCCATTGAAAAAGCTGAGACTTCAGGAGGTCCCTGCTTTGACCCAGATCACACAGCTCAGGGGTGAGAGAACATGCACAGGCTTGATCCCTACTCCTCTGACATCACATCTAGGACTCTTTCCAAGTATGCCCTGCTCCTCCTCCACACCAAAAGGGGTGGAAAGCATCTTAAAGGGTAGAAAGCCATTTCTGGTGATCATGGGCCAGCATTTAGCACATTATGACAATGATGGAAGGATATCCCCTCCATTCTCTAGGGAAGGGGTACACCTGCCTCAGTGTTCTAGAAATGTTCCAGTTACCTTAATCTGGAGCAATGGGGCAGCAGCTGAGCCCCAGTGATCCCGGTCACAACCCACAGTTTGCAGGTGCCACCTCCCAGGCCTTCCTGTAGGCTGGGTGGAGAGAGATGCCAAGTGAAGCAAGTCCATTGGACTGTGGGAGAGAAGCAGGAACAAGTGAGGTAGTGAAATGAGAGTTGAGGTGGCTCCCTTCAACCAGATCTGGAAAGACAGCCATGTCATCAGATCTGGACTTAATGTTTTTTATCAGCTATGTCATTGTATCTTGAACTAGACCCCTATATGGTCCAAGCACCTTCTCATGGGCTGGCAGCCATGAGGGAAAGCATGCCCAAGAACATGCTTATCTGCTTTGTAAGGGAATTAGAATAGGAATAGCTTTGGGCAACTGAGCCCTATTGAGTGCCAGTGGGCTGACTGTGTCTACTTTCTGTTCTCCTGGGCCATCCACAGGCCACTTTCCTGGACACCCCTGGTTGGCTCTCACACCTCCAGTCTAGCCACTCAGCCCCAGGAGTAAGGAAAATTTGAGTTTGCAATGCAGGTAAGAATGAATGTTATGAGAAGGGAAAACTCCATCCATCACCAGGCTCTGAGCACAACAAGTGTATCCTCCTGGTGAGTGGCCTCTTGAGAAGGGCCACAGAAAGCTGGTAGGTGAAAGTTAGTTTTGTTGCCTGGTGAGTTTTAAAAGTAATCTCTGAATTCTACTTGTTCACTGTTTTCCATTTTGTATTTGGGCTCTCACAAACAACATTCTAATGGTGTTCACAGAAATCAGAAGTCGCTCACAGGGATTAAGTGATTTTTAGCTGTTCACCAAACTTGATGATCCCCTCCAAGTCAAAGTGGGCTTTTGCTCCTCAGTGTTTTCCTCTCTAGGTCTCCCTCATGGGTGTATGATTACCCCCTTGAGAAACACCTGCTTTTACTTTTCAGGATACCACATTTGTCTTCCTTCTTGAGCACCCGCACTTTCTCACATTCATTTGCCAACTCCTCCTCATCCCAACCTTGACCCTTTTGTCTTCATCTAGACTCAGTGCCTTTGTGATCTCACTGAATCCCATGGCTTTAAAGGCCACCTGAAAGCTGATAGCCCAATTTCTACTTTCTAACCTAATGCTTCCCCTAAGTCCAAACTCATTTCCCCACCTCTACTGGGATATCTAATTAACATCTCAAACATGTCCAGAAGATCACTTTTTATTTTCTACCACCAGCCTAGCCCTCCCTGAGGACCATTCCATTGAGAAAGCCCACACCGTGAAAATCGTCTTGACTCCTTTCTTCTCTTTGTACTCTGCAACCCCTCCACCAGCCAGTACTATAAAAAGTATACTCAAAATGAGTCCTAAATCCAGATCCTTTCACTGCTTAAACTGCTACCTTTCTTTCTTGCCTATAGCCCTCTCTGCTTTCTCCCCTTTCCCCATCAGCCAATCACTCCAGGGTGAACAGCTAAGTCAGACCATGCTATTATTCCTCTGCTCAAATCCTCAAAGCACTCACCATCTTCCCTGGGGTGTGAGATGCTGTCATCATCACGATTCCATATCACCTCACTCCTGCTATTTCTCCCCACCCATGCTGCACTCATATTTCTTGGCATGCAACCCTGTTCCTACCTCAGGACCTTTCCTTTATCTGGACTAATCTTCTGTCAGACCTCCAAAAGGTGGAGATCCTACTCCATTCGGTGCAAATGTTACCTCCCCTGAGTGGCCTTTATTATCCTTTTTTCCTTCTGGTGTTTAAGATGGAACCCAAGGCCTTCTGCATGCTAGGCAAGTGCTGTACCACTGAGCCACGTCTCCAGCCCCTTATCCAGCTTCAGATATTCTCTCACCCTACTATGTCTTATCATTCTGCAGATTAATGATCTCTAAATGAAATTATGTTATGAGTTGCTTTGCTTATTCCTTTTATGTCTCTTCATCAAGAAAAGAAGTTCCATGAGGCCAGCAACTTGTGTCATCTCCTACATCATACTCCTGGTACCCAGAACAGTGCCTGCATGTGCTCAGCAAATACTTGTTGAATTAATGAATTTGTTTTTCTGTCAATCTTTAAAAATTAGTTCTTGATAAGCCAACTTGACCATGTCACAAATGGATTTCTTTTAATAAGATGAATAATTTTACCCTTCAGTCTACCCTGTAAGCACAAATATTTGAGTGTGTGGGCCCTTCCTGACTTCACCTCCTTTCACATAGTTTATATATTGTCTTAGCTAATCTCAACCTCAGCTTCTGCTGGAGCTCAGTTTGGGCCCCAGCATATTCCTCCTGGGGACTTGTGGCCCTTTATCCTCTGCTGCTCCCATCTTTCGGGCCCTGTTGCTCTCAGAGATGCCTCCTCTCACCTCTCAAGTACCTCTTGAGACTCTGATCCATGTTAGGAACTGTGGTTCCTTTTTGCCCATGAAGGACACAAAAATAGATGTCTCAAGTTCTGAAATATTCACATACTAGTGAAAGTTAAAAACACGCAGAGAAATAGGGAATTACATGATGAATGCCATGTGGCCAGAAGAGAGGGCTCCTGGATCCTACAGGAAAGAGGAACTGACCTTGTGCAAGGGTACAGTGCATGGGGTGTGGTAATGTATGGAACAAGTATTTTGTGTGGCCAGAGCTCAGGATAGCTGAAAGGACATAAAGTAGGAGCATGAACAGCAAGAAACACAGCAGAAAAAGTAGGTAGCAAACAAGACAAATTATATGTTATTCTAAGGAATTTTTATTCCTTGAAAGTTCTAAATTCATTAATTCAGCCAATATATGTTGAACTCCTCTTATATGCTAAGCACAGTAGTAGGCTCTGAGTGTACAGTATTTAATAAGTAGTCACTTTCCTTTCCATTACTGAGCCAATAATCCATTGGCCCAGGGGAAATTTGTACAGCAGCTCTTGCCCTTGAGAGCTATATAGATGGGAAACTTTATTACTGCCAAAAATGGAAACAATTCCACCTAGGTAGAGACATGTTTAAGCAAATCATGGTACAACCATATAAAAGAATATTATGTAGCCATTAAAAATGAGGTTTATGAACATAGGAAAAATACTCATTTTCCTTAACAGAAATATGTGTGATGTGCTCCCTGCAAAAACTAAGGTAAAGCTAGGGACAGTGGTGCAAACCTATAATCCCAGATACTCTGGAGGCTGAGGCAGGAGTGATCACAGGTTTCAAGCAAGCCTGGGAAACTTAGTGAGACCTCATCTCAAAAAACTAAAGGGGCTGGGGATGTATCCCAGTGGTACAGTGCTTGCCCAACATATGAAGACCCTTAGGTTCAATCCCCAACACCATAAACAGAGCAGAAAGGATAAAAATCTATACAGAATGGTATACATCCGTGAAGAAAAACAAGCATAAAAAAAGACTATACATATACAACAATGTTAGTTATGGTTGCCTCTTTTCTATTACTTTAGACATTTTCTGTGCCTCAAAGTTTTTCTATTAAGTGCGTATTTACTTTTTTAGCATAATATTTATTGTAAAAGGAAAAGGATGAACAAATCAAGTAATAAAGTGTGTGGGGGAGGGAATAAGACAAAAATCTGCATATCTGATTTGACTTAGGTGTCATCACCTCTGGAGCTCTGGGCTGAGGGGAGGACTTCGTACCTTAAAACAATTCCTTAGGCTCCATGGCCAGCCCTTCCATGTTCACCCACAGAGGGATGGAACAGCTGCCTATGCATGGGGCAGATCAGCACAGGATGAAGTGTGCAGGGAAGGAGCCCTCTGGTTGGCGTAGCCACCTCTCTGCTTAAAGACTCTGACTCGCTATGTGACCTTGCACAATCCAGCTTGCTTTCCAAGGAGACTCCTTCACAGGCTGTCCACTCTCCTGGTGAGCAGGAGGATCAAAGCATTAGGGGAAGTAGGTGCTCCTTTTTGAGAACAAAAACATGCTTTTCTCAACCCCCATTTTTCCTCTCACCAGCACCCTCTTCCTGGCCTGCAAGCAACTAATATGTATATATTTGTTATTTCTTCTAGGAAATGATCGGAATGGCCTAGATTTCAACAGACAGGTAAGAACGTGGGTCAGAAGATACATTTATCCTATCAATTTTGGGAGTGTCGTGTGTGGGAATATAAAAATTAAGTACAGTTTGGGGGTGATTATTAATAGACACCTAGCTTTCAGGAGTAAAGGACCCTAGATCCAGCCTCTCACCCTAATGTTGAGGTCTCCTTCTCAGATCACTTCAGAGTGCTGACAAATGGAGCAGCTGTTTAGCATGAGCTGCATGCCACATGTAGTCCTGCATGGCACATGGACTAGAAATCTAAGACTATAGCATTTTCTGCCCAGGTTTGGCCTCGTTACATCTTAATGAGATAGAGGGGAATCTATGGAGTCACCAAGGACATTGTGCCTGGGTTTCTGTAGGGAGCTCCTAATTGAAAGAAAGTTGATAGGGACCATGACAAGGAAAACAGAAGAGCTCAGAAAAGAGCCCTAACCATACTGGGGGGACAGTGTAAACACATTTGAAAGGCAACAGAATTGGGCGAGGTTAGACTGAGTTACGAGGGCTTTGGACAGGAGCAGGTGCTGTTGGAAAGATTACAGATTGGGGATGAGTAAAGAAAAGGGTGAAGTGGAGGGAGAGGATTTTCCCCCTTGAGGTTTCAGGCTGATGGGAGACCTAGCAGATGGAACGTAAAACAGGGTGTCTGTCCAGAGCAGCAGTAAGAGTGGGAGAGTTTGCAGGAGGAAAAAGTCTAACCTGGAGACAAACAGAAAGCAATAATGGAGGCCTTAGAGTAAGGCAGAGGGGAGAGAATTAGATACAAAATCCGAAAGCCTGGGTATTGCTCCAGTTTCTGCCACTAGCCATATAACTTTGATTTAATACTTTTGGCCCGAGTTTTTTCAGCTGAAAAGTTAATAAAGTATGTGGGAAGGCTCCTACTTTATGCCAGATATGGGAACACCACAAATTAAGACATAGTCTCTGTACTGAGGGAGCCCGAAGTCCACCAGTATATACATATAGATGGGGGGGGGGTGCTAAGAGAGTCTTAAGTGAATAAGTCTCATCTATGCTTGCTTAGGTGTGTAAAAAGCATGGCGTCTAACAGAAATAGGGAAGATTGATTCTTCCTGGGAACTCAGAACAGGCTTCATGGAGGAGGTGGTGTCTGAGCAGAGCTCTGAAGGATGAGGGGGCATTTGTCAAGCAAGGAAGAGTAGGTTGGAGAAGACAGCAAGTGGGAGGGAGCCAAATCCCAACATGGGGCATAGTGGATGATCTCTAGGATTCCTTCCCTGTGTTCTGCTCTTCTGAATTTGGGTTTGGGTGGAAGATTGTGATGGGGCTGGAGATGAAATGCAGAGATATTACACAAGTTCTTTTCCTTCTTTATCTGTAGAATGATCTGAAGCTAGACTAACATTTCCTAGCAGGCTATTAATTCTGGTTGCTTCACAGTCAGAGGAATAATCTTTTTTTTTTTTTTTTTTTTTTAATAATCTTGAGTCCTAAGCCTAAACCTTTTAGATAGGCAAATTTTATGATTTTGTTCATTAGAAAAGCTGAGAAATTTGCCAACAAATGAAGACCCGCTATCCCTCCCTTCTTCTCTGCCTCCACTGAGATAAGCTTTATTAAATAGAGATATAGATTAGATAAGAGGAAGGATTTCCAGTCAATGAGGTTTTTAAAATCCTAGAACAACTACCAAGGGAGGGAACACTATAGAATCAGCTTCTTACTCAAGGTCTTTCAATGGAAGACAGACTCTTATCTATGAGATGGTTTGGCCAGGTTTGTCCCAAGGGTGTACTCCCAGGGCTCTGTATCTGTAGGAGAGTGCTAAGCAAGTGAGGTTGTAGGCTCTACCCTATGCTTTCTGCCCTCATCACCTCCCCCACCATCACTACCTCCGGGCCCACCTCTCACTACCCTGGGCCTTGGACAGGAAGTGCCAGGAGGAGGCTGCCCCACTCCAAGATGTGGCCATGCCAGCCTGCTGGAAGGTAGCCAGCTGCACAGGCTTGGTGGGTTTGGCTGCCTCTGTGATCCATCTAGAGCTTGAAAAATGCTTGTGCTGGTTACAAGGCTAGGGGTAGGTCCTCTGGCTCTGGGCAGGCTACAGGGAGGCCTCTGACCCTTTGGCCATCTTTTGGAGTACAGTTCCCCACAAGCTGGCCTTTGGAGTAGACTCACTTTGGCTTGTTTCCCTTGGACAAGCCTTGTGGAATGGATTATTCCCCCAGCCCCAATCCAGGAAGAGTTTGGATTTCTCATTGCTGCCAAGGGCAGACCCAGTAGTTCCATGATTTGGGGAGAGATTTGGAAGGAGAGATGCTCAACCTAGTCACACTCTTTTACACACTTGGCAGGAACTCTTCTTGCTCACAAGCACATCCATAGCCTTCCTAAGGCTCCACCCTTCACCCTCTGACTCTCCCTCAGAGGCCATCAGATTCCCATGCCCACACACTCACCACACCAGCTCAGCTGCAGAGCTGCAGGTGCCACCCAGGCCACTGCTTGGCCATCATACCTCATGCTTCATGGCCAGGGAAGTAGACACTCAACACACTTTATCTCATTTAATTCTCTTGTAAACCAGTGAGGCAACTGTGTTACTAACCCTATTTTACAGGTGAGGAAACTACCTCCCAGATAGCCCTATTTTTTTCAGCAGGGATGTGAGAGATTTAGTAACTTGGCAAAGGTGACACAACTGACAGGGCCAAAATTTGAACTCACATTTCCTTGACTCCAGAGCCCACTTTTCCAATTGTGTCCTCCTCTGCAGTCTTTCAACTTCTCTCTTCTGGTACGCACACAGACTTCTTGGGGAGAGGCCTGGGAGCAGTCTGAGTGTGACTTCACTGTGACTAAGTGGAAGGAAGTGGGAGGCAGAGGGAATGGGGAGGAAAGGAAAGTATGATTGTGGAGGAACTGCTTGGGTCAGACACAGATGAGTGGTTGGAAGACACAGGAGAGCAAAGGAAGAACCACTGCCCTTGGTAGGGCTCCTGTTGAAAGACCCAGGCTAGCTAGTGTGATTGAGAATTGCAGCTAGATGCTGGGTAACCAACAATCCCAAGGTTGCATGAACAAGGAATGTTGGCTCATCCAACGTTCAGGCAATGTTTCCATCTCAAGCTACTTAATTTCCTGAGGTCAGGAAGACAGCCTGAACTTGTCTGGGGATAACTGTGAGAAAGGCAAAACACCCTGAAGTCCCTTAGTCCCCAGGGTACATAAGTTGAGAAGCAATAGGGAACAGCCAGGTCTCTGGATGGAGATTCAGAAGACCTGAGTTCCCACACTGTCTCTCCCTCACTTGATGCAAACCTATTCTTTTTTTTTTTTGTACTGGGGACTGAACTCAGGTCCTTGTGCTTGCCCAGCAGGCGGCAAAACCCCTGAGCTAAATCCCCGGCCCGATACAAACCTATTGTTCCTGGGGCTTAATTTTCCCATGAATGAAATGAAAACGTGTAATGAGATGATGTCTATGGCCCCTCACAGTCTGTGTGTTAGTGTGCCGTCATTTTTCTTTTCTTTTCTTTTTTTGGTACCAGGAACTGAGCTCAGGGCCTCATGCTTGCCAGGCAGATGCTGCACCACTGAGCTACATCCCCAGCCCTGCTATAATTTTTCCTATGCTGTGTTCTGACTGGTTAGCTGGACTCTGACTTTCACTCTCCTTGTATTTATTTTTGCTTTGAAGAGAAATGGGGAAGAGAGTCACCCTATGTGGTAGGAAGTCAGAGAAAATAATTCCAGGGAACCTTTTGAACCTTTATGATCAAGTGTGACCCAGTGAAAGAATCATTTGAAGTGTAGGAACACAGATAGAAGGATCTAGTGGGGTGCCTCTGGGGCCATCCATTCATTCCTTGAATATTTAGCTATTCTTAAGTGCTAGATAGAGGATATTATTTAAAAGAAGATAAATTGTAATATTCACAGTGGACTCTGAAAGAGACACGAGTGCTGAGCTCTGGGACACTGTCAATTGAAAGCACAGAGAGATGGTGTGGGACATGGGCAGCAAAGGAAAAGTAAGACTTTGACTGGCAGAAAGACATGGCAACAATGTTCTAGAATAGGAGACAGTGGGTGTGAAGACTTGCTGTGGAAAAGGGTGCAGCTTTGCAGAACGGTGAGAGGACCGGCAAGGGATGAGTTGCTGGAAGATGAGGTTGGAGCTGTGAGTTGCAACAGATTAGGAAGAGCTCTGAATGCCCAAGAAGAAGTATGGAGTTTATCTCATGGGCAGTCGGGAGCCAGTAGGTATTTTGAAGCATACCTAGTTTCATTCAGTGGAAGAGCATAGTAGGGTGTGGGTGAGATGGGAAAGGAGGATGGATGAAGGGCCCACGCAGGAGAGGCCAGATGGAAAGCTGATGCAAGGGACAGAAGTGGGCCACACTAAGGGCAGAGATTCTAGCACACAAAGCCAGATTACCTAGGGTTTGAATCTTGGCTTTGCACTACCTGACTGTGACATTAGGCAAGTTCGTCTAACTCTTTGCTTCAACCTTCTTGTCTGTAAAATGGAAAGAATGCTGGTGTTTAGCTCACAGGATGGTTGTGCACAACAAATGAATAAGAATAAGTATGTGTGTCTCTTAGGCAAGTGTCTGGAACATATACATTGCATAAGTATTTTCTGTTATTACTGTGTCTGCAGACATGGAGGAATCAGATTTGAGAACTCTGAGATAAGATTAGGAGGATTTTGACAACACGTTGGATATGGACAGCAAAGGAGAGGGACAAGTCATGTAAATCCGAAATCCCTGGCTTGGGATGTTGAGCATTAGTGGAACTGCATCAGGGTTGGAGATGGAGTGAACTTTTCCAGAGGGTGGGAGGAAGAAGAGGAACAGATAGTGAGCTGCAGGCACTCAATACTTGGTAAGAAATCTGGATCTGGAGACAGGAGACAGATCAGGACTGGGGATGGATATTTGGGAGTCACCATCAAATGCTGTTGCATGAAGTGATGGGAGGGAGGGAGGTTACTAGGGAGAGTGTGCAGAGCAGGAAAAGGTCCA